ATGTGTGTGAGGATGGACCATGGAAAGCCCTGGACAGTGTTTATGTAAGAGGAGAAGGGACAGGCAGAGGGTGATCTGAACAGCTGCCTTAGATGTCATTATTGGACCCTCCTAGCAGCTCACTGAGTCCAGGATGCAGACCAAGATCTGGGCTAACTCCAGACTGATTCTGGCTGCATAGTCTTAACTCTACGTCAGGGTGGGAACTGGGCCTGATTTCACTGGCACAAGAAACTCGGGTCAGGAAAATCTCTCTGTCAGTGTAGGGTCTTGGTACCTTCCCTGAGTCTTACAGTCTGAGAAAATTGCCTAGAGTGCCGAGCAGCTCCCCCAACCAGGCTGTGTCAGGGGCTGGCCTGGAACCAAGGTCTTTTGGCCCCTGCACCACCCTGGCTGCTCTCGAAATAGAAAGGAAATAGCAAGGAAATAGCATGAAGTTCACTCTCTTGGCCATGTTGTTGTCATCTTTTTGCCATGATTTTATTTAAAATGTTGGGATATGTATTTATTAAGGATAATGTAATGGTTTAGACTTCTCTTCCTTTTCTTGATCCTTTCCTGGTCTAAGCACCAGTCACAAGGAGCTTGGAAGAGTGTTTTCTTTCTCAATCTTTGAGAACAATTTGTGTTACCTAGGTATTGGTTACTCTTTAAAACCTTGATAAAATTCTCCTGCATGATGTTTCTTGAGTAATTCCTTTACAGCTAGCTCACTTTGCCTTTATATTCTGGTCCTGGGGAGCCAGGATAGAATGATGATGATGATGATGATGATGATGGTGATGATGGAAAGAGTGTTTTGTAATTTTAGTCAGAGAGTTCCTGTAGGCATACTCCCAAGTATTTTTGGTATTCTATAAGTATTTTAAATGGAATTTTTCTTTCTATCTTTTTCTGTTAGGTTTTTTGGTAGTACACAAAAATATTGATGATTTCTGTGGATTTATTTTATATCTGACAACTTTGCTGAAGTCATTATTTTGATTAATTTGAGTTGACTCTATGAGGTCCTCTTTGTCATCTGTAAAATCTATTCCTTCATTTTTTTTTCTTGTTTTCTTGCTATAGCTCCCATTTCTAGCATGATATCCATTCGTTGCAGTAAGAATGGACATCTTAGGGGCAGCTAGGTGGCTCAGTGGATAGAGCACTGGACCTGAAGTCAGGAGGACCTGACTTCAAATCCGGCCTCAGAGCAAACACTTGACACTTAACTAGCTGTGTGACCCTGGGCAGTCACTTAACCCCAATTGCCTAAAAAAAAAAAAAAAAGAATGGACATCTTAACTTTCTCCCTCTCTTACCTGAAAGTTCTCTGGTCTTCTCTCCATTACTTGTGATTTTTGCTCTTGGTTTATGATAGATATTAAGAAAAGGGCCTTTTCATCCCATTTTTCTAGTGTTCTTTTTTTTTCTTCCAGAAGTGAGTATTGTGTTTTGTTCTAAGCTTTTCCTATACTTATTGATAGAATTATATGATTTTTGCTTTTACTAATGTGGTCTCGTACGTTGACAGTTTTCCTAATATTGAACCAACCCTGCATTCTTGTTATGAGTCAAACTTGATCCTAACATTGAATCTCTGTAAAGTGTCACTGCAGCCTCTTTGCTAATATTTGATTTAAAAATTTGGCTTGAAGGCTCATTAGGTAGATTAGTTTATGCTGGGTTTATTTCCCTGTTTTGACTCTCCAAGTTCTAGGTATCAAGGTGACATTTATATACTAGAAGGAGTTTGTTAAGATACTTTCTTTTCCTATTTTTACAAGCACTTTATGAAATGCCGGAATGAATTGTTCTCTGAATGGTGGTAAATAAAGATCACTAATGTTTGTATAGCAGCTACTACATGCCAGGCACTGTGCTAAGAACTTCATAATTATCTCATTTGTTCTTCACCACAACTGTGAGGTAAGTGCTACTATTATCCTCATTTTACCTATGGGGAAACTGAGGCTGGCAGGCATCACGTGACTTTCCCAGGGTCACATTATGAGGGAGTGTATGGGGCTAGATTTGAATTCAGATCTTCCTGACTCCAGGCCCAGTGCCCTATCCACTTGCACCACCTAGCTGTCCGTTTAGTAAAATTCATGAAAGTAAGATGTATGGCCTACACAGCAAAGATAATTGGCAGAATATAAAAACTTGAATCCACAGAGGTGATTCTTTTTTGAATAGTATTTTTTCCAATTACAGGTAAAGACAATTTTTAATATTCATTTAAATTTGAATCATTTGAATTCTAAATTTTTTTCCCTCTCTCTCCCTCCTTCTCCTTCCCTTCCCTAAAATAGCAAGCGATTTGATACAGGTTATGTATGTGGAATCATGTAAAACATTTTTCCATATTAGTCATATTGTGAAAGAAGAAACACATCAAAAGACAAAAAAGGAAAGAAAGTGACAATAGTGCACTTTGATCTGCATTCAGCTCTATCAGTTCTTTCTCTGGATGTGGATAGCATTTGCCATCATGAGACCTTTGGAATTGTCTTGGATCATTGTATTGCTGAGAAAAGCTAAGTCTATTATCGTTGATCATTGCACAATGTTGCTCTTACTGTGTATAACGTTCTGGTTCTGCTCATTTCACTGCATCATTTCATGTAAGTCTTCCCAGGTCTTTCTGAAATCATCTTGCTCATTGTTTCTTATAGCACAGTAGTATTTCATTACATTCATATACCACAACCCGTTCAGCTATTCCCTAACTGATGGGCATTCCCTTAATTTCCAAATTTGCCACCACCAAAAAGAGCTGCTATGAATATTTTTGTACAAAGGGGTCCTTTTCCCTTCTTATGATCTCTTTGGGATACAGACCCAGCAGTGGTATTGCTGGATCAAAGGATATGGATGGTTTTATAGCCCTTTGGGTACAGTTCCAAATTGCTCTTCAGAATGGTTGGATCAGTTCACAACCCCACCAATAGCACCTTAGTGTCCCAGTTTTCCCACACCTCCTCCAACATCCAACATTTTCCTTTGTTGTTATATTAGCCGATCTGATAGGTGTAAGGGGGTATGTCAGCATTGTTTTAATTTGCATTTCTCTCATCAATAATGATTTAGAGCATTTTTTTCATATGAACATAGATAGCTTTGATTTCTTCTTCTGCAAAGAGGTGAGTCTTTCTAAAGAAGTAAAAAGGAGCGTCTTAGAAGATGACCACTCACTATTAATCAATAATGTGGATGAGTTGACACTTCCCTCATTGACACTTCTCCCCCAGGTGACTGTATCTACAAGAGAGATGGACAACAAGACCTAGGCCTGATCAATGGGAGTCAGTACCTCGGGCATGACCACATGCACTGGATATCAGTGGAGTCCTGACTATGCCTCAGAGTGCAGGAAGCTGAGGCTCAGGGCTGGCTATGCTTAAAAGACTGCCAAGGATGGGACACACGTGCTAACATATTTCCACCTGGTCTTGTGTGTGTCATCCTAAGTCCTTCTAGCTTGGTGACCCTTACGTCTTTGTCAGACTTCACAGATGGACCTCTCTGGTCAAGCTCAGTGGTATCAGCTAATGTCATTTTGTACATCATCTGACCTCTCTCATCTGGACCTTTTATACTTTCCCATTAAAACTGTCCAGATTCAGCCATCATTCACTTCTCTTGGACTATATTCTAAGTTGTCTCTGTGCCACCAATCTTTCCCAGCTTGAATCCATCTTTAACGTTGCTGTCCTCCCTTATTCATGTCATGCCCCTGATTTAAAACCTATGCTGATTCTTCATTTCCTTTGGGAAGAATTCCAAACTCCTGCCCCCCCCAAATGTACCTTTGCTTTTCATTGACTATACTCCCATACTCTCCCACATCTCTTGCTTTGGTCAAGATGTTCACTCTCCTTAGAATGCCCTTCCTTCTTCCCAACTCCATCCAAATCCAGTTTGCCCTTGGAGTTTCAGCTCAAATGTCATTCAGTCTGTGACGCTGTCCATGAGTCCCTCTTCCTGCATCAAGAATTCCTCTCTCCTTTCTCTGAGCTCCTGTGGTTCCTTCTACCCAGCCTTTCTTTCCCAAGATATATATCTTTTAAATACCAAGATTCTTCTAGCGGTACTTTTCAGCGGTAAGCCATGCAACACTGGGGATGCCAAAGAACTGAGATTACCAGTCGCCCAAAGGGAAATGGTAAGCAGCATGGTGATGGAAACAAGACTGCCCCAGATCTGCTCGGTTTGATCCTGGAGTCAGAGCAGGGGCGCTGGAACCTTGGCTTCAGCACACAGCAGCCTGAAGATCTCTGGCTTCCTCTCTCTAGTCTCTCACTTTCTTCAGCTGCAAAATAAGGAGGCTAGATTTGATGGTTTCTGAGTTCCTTTCTAGGTCTACAACCCTAAGATTCCATCCTTCTACAGCTCTGTCTCCATTGAATAATTGAACACTGGAAATAATGTTAAAGAAATATGCCCTGGGGGCAGCTAGGTGGTGCAGTGGATGAAGCACAGGCCCTGGAGTCAGGAGGAGCTGAGTTCAAATCCAGCCTCAGACCAAACACTTACTAGTAGTGTGACCCTGGGCAACTCACTTAACCCCAATTGCCTAAAAAAAAAAAAGAGAAAGATTGGCCCAAAGATGTGTAACTGGAAAGGGGGATGGGCAGTCCCACAGCAGAGGCCACAGAGCTAAATGGACAGCTCATGTGCTCCACTTGTACCCACATTGTGCTGAGAGATTAGGAGGAAGGCTTCTGGGACATTGAGTGTTTCAGTCCTATTGAGTAATGATTGGGAGATTTTGACAAGAATCAGGAAGAATGAGAAGGGACAGATGGGTTTTAGAGGGAGGTAGATTTTTGGAGGGAGAGAGGAGTAGCAGCATATCAGAGTATGCTTCTTAGTGGCCCTATTAGGCTGAAAACTCCACTAGGACTGTTGCTATTCCATTAACATAAATTGTTGACTCAATCAGTGACTATATAGTTATCAAAAGAAGTCAAAACAATGCACACAAAAACCAAATAAATTCACAAACAAGAGCCTTCAGGGAAATAATTACTAAGGATTTATTCATATATTTAGTTTTGTTTTGAGCAAGATGATAACTTGTGACTTTGCTACAAACACTATTTGTGGATGACCAATAACATTCTGATCCATTTGGACTAGCAGAAAACCACATGGCATTTTTCTTTTGTTTGGCCTGATCTATCATGGTCTTTCAATGCAGAAACAATCCATTACCTTTGAGGGACACAGTCTAATTAATTCTCAACATTATGAGGATGAGCAGCAGCCTAAGTAGATGTTCCCGCTTTCCTGTGTCCAAAGGAACCATGTGAATCTTAAGCCCATGTGGTGGAAGACTTCAACCCAACAGTGTGCAAAGAAATGCCCACTGGAACTAGAGAGGAGGTGGTGGGGAAATGCATTAACATTTATAATAAATGATTAGCAATCACAACTCATTAGGAAGCCACCTGAAAGGGGTGCTGTATGTGTTTTCCAGTTTAAAAAAAGATGACTCCAAATGGATAGCTGACTCATCCAGTTGTTCTAAGCAAATCATTTGAAGCTAGAATCTTGAAGAATGGGGAAGGAGAATCAGTCCTGCAGTCGGTGTTCTAACTTTTTGTGTCTTGAGAGGGAGAAAGGAGGGCTGACAGTAAGAAGACCTGGCTTCTACCCTAGCTCAGCTGCAAACTGGCCATGTAATCCTGGAGCAGGTATTAGAATCACAGAATCTGAGAGTTGGAAAAGACCTCAGTCCAACTTGTACCTGGACCAACCTCCCAAATTGTATTTATACAACCTCTTAGACACTGGTCATCCAGAGCTGACTTGGAAAGCCCCAGTGAATGGGAACTCACTTCTTCCTGAGGCAGACAATTCCTGTTGTATAGTTCCAATTGTTAGGGAAGTTTTCACTGACCCTGATCTAAATGATGTAATTCCCTCAGTCCCCATTGTTCTTAATTCTGTCCTGTGAGGCCAAGCAGAATGCAGCCGATCTTTTCTCCATGTGAAACAGGAAAGCAGCTATCAGGTCCCTCCTCTAAGACTTATCTTCAGCCCAAAAGTTTTCCCCTTATTTCACTTCCATTTTCTCAGCTGTAATATGAGGTGGTTGGACTAAATGGTTATCTTCCAGCTCTCAAGCTCCATGTTCCTACTTTAATAAGCAACTAAATAAGCTTGAGATTTTCTTTATCAAAAATTGATTTGAAAATGACTTGTATGCATGAGGGTACACATGTGTATTTGTGGGTGCATGTAATTCATATGGGTACATTTTCATGATTCATAGGGAGAACAAACTAAAATTTCACCTAATTTTTAAAATGTGGCTCAATGAGACTTAGATTTGGTAGCTTTCTTAGCTTTTTCTTTTTTGCCAAAGCATTTCTGGAAACAAAATTTGAGGCATTTCACAGCAATTAGTACAACAGTCAACACAATAGCCAAGAGGAAAGCAATGACATCCAAAGAATGGTACTGGATCCAGTTGAGGTCATGGGCAGCAGCACGTAAATGTGGGGCCCCTTTGTTTCTCATCACGAATTCCACCCAGAACACAGCAAGGTCAAGGGGACTGATGGGCCGATCTTTGTGAAGAGCTGAGAGACGCATGATGTTTTCCTTGTAGCTAAAAATATTAAAAGGTAAATTAATATACAAATCCTTCAATGATAGAAAGTTATTACCTCTTTGGGTTGCTCTAAAAATAGCCAAGCTACACAGAAGCCCAGACTTTCTTTCCTTGATGTTGTCTATTTCTTTTTCAGTGTTATTTGGTCACTTCAGAAGAAGTTAGGTGTGTAGATTCCAGAATTAAGGAATTATGGAATCGTGGGATTATAGAGCTGGAAGAACCACAGAGGTCAACTGATCAATCTTACTCCCAAAGCATAAATCCCATCTAAAACAGCCTCAAGAAGTGATCATTCAATCTCCACTTGAAGATCTCCAGGGATGGTGGATTCACATTCTTGTGGGTGTGACCCATTTCCAAAAGGAAGAACTAAAATCACAGATCAATTCTGAGATGAATCAACAGATGGACAGAAGACACCATCATGGCAAAGGATCAGCTTCAGATAGACAATATCTAAAGGAAGAGCCATCAGGTGGCCAGAAATTCATGAGTGCTGGAGCTGGAAGGAATCTCTGGGGATTATGAAGTCCAACTTCCTCATTTGATGAAAGAGGAAAATGGGGATCAGAGAGTCAAAAAGACTAGTCCATGGTCCCTCATAAAGTAAGAATAAGAGACAGGCCTTGAGATTTCAGATGGTTATTTTTCACTCAGTACAGCAAGCTGGATCTCTTCAGAAGATCTTCTCATACAAAGAACATCTGGAGGACATTGATTTATGCATTAGGGCATTGGCAGAAACATTTTAACTGTATATCAAACACAACCAGATAAGTAATGCCTAAGAGCTTAAAGATGGTGTCAGAGAATAAGATTTGAATTTCTGAACCACAGTTTAAGATCTAGGAATGATAAACTTGACTGGGGATGGAATGCCTCTAATGAGGGCCAAAAAATGAAATTGGCTGAAGATTTGTGAATTTGATCAAGAGGGCATTAAACAGAAAACAGTGAGGGAGGAAGAAAATTGTCTGCATATAGCCACAGAGCTAGACACCACAGAATTTAGCAGGTTTTGCAAAAGAAGAAAAACAATTATGAAGAAGCCTGCACAGAAATGTGGAGTTCTATTAATTAATGATATGTGACTTATGAGTGGAATATACCAGTGGAAGGATGTAACGTGTCCAAATGGAGGAGAGTAGATAAAAGAGGATGGAATAACATTGTAGATTCAATTCAATTCAGTGCAACAGGAATTTATTGAATGTATATCAAGAAATCTGCTCCTGTGGGGAGTACAAACTGAGGTGGTGAAACATGGTGGAGAGTGTTTGGGGAGGATTGATGGAGGAAGAGACAGAGGAACGATAGTGGAAGAAGTAAACAGCAGACTGCATGGCCAGAAGGAAGAATGATGGGTTCGTGAAGTGAATCACAAAGTTAGTATGGTGGCAGGATGGTAGAGAAATGGGATCCTCTAGTTACCCGAATACCTTCTAGAAGTGTCTTCCTGCATAAGACAGAGAGCTGGAGTAACTCCTCCAAAGCCTTGCTAACTTTTCAAGATATGGAGTAAATCTCAAGAAGAACCATTCTCTTGGATCTGAATCTGATTACTGACAGGGATTTTGCTGAAATAAACATAACAGGAAATGGGGGGAAAGTGAACACTTCATTACAATGTCTGCAATAGAAGGGGAAATGTCAGAAATCTTCCTGATGCCCAAGATTTTGAAAGAGTGAATTTCAGAGTTCCAAAAAAAAAAAAAGGCTAGGATGCCAGGGCTTAAAGTTCTACAAAGGAAATCAGCTTAAGAAGGGGAGGAGGCTCAAAATAATGAATCAAAATTATTTATTTCAGTGAAGAGGAATAAAAGGTGAACTGTTTGAAGATCTTAATGTGGCTACATTGGGAGCTCATTAACTAACTCAGCTCAGTCAATCAGGAAGTGACTGTGCACCAGGCACTGGGGGAGAAGGAAAGCAAAGGTGACCAAACCCTGGATGAATCATGACAGCCCTAAAGGCTGCAGTAAAAGAAGATTGTTGGTTAACTCAAAGGACAATGAGAAAGGGCTCTTAAAACTGTATTTGGCAAATGAAATATCAAAAAAGAGACAGGTCCAATAAGAGGGTGGAAGAAGTGTGACTAGACCACAGTTCATGTGCATGTCTTAGGGACTGCAAGCTTGATATTGCTCAAGGGTATGTCATGGCAGTCAGAAAATTGGAAGGGGCTGCCTTGATAAAAGCAGAATTTCTATGAAGAGGATACCTGGCCAGACCAACTCAGAAGTCTTGTGTTCAGGCTGGTTCCTTAGTTTTGTGAAAGACACTAACAAAGTCAAGCACGTACAGAGGAGGGTGATTGGGATGGTGAGTGGACTTGAATATGAATTGGCTAATAGAACTGGGCATCATTTAGTCTAGAGAAGAGAAGACTTAGGGGAGACATGACAGCTGCCTTCAAGGTTTGAGGGACTGCCACACGGAAGGGAGATGAGACTTGTCTTGGCTGGTCCCTGAGGGTGGAAGTGGGAGCAGGGGAGGGAGACATATTGAAGCAGATTTCCACTTGTCAATTACAGCCATCCCAAGGTGCAAGGTGGAATTCCTAGGAGGTCATAAAGTCCCAAGTATTTGAGGTTTTACCACATGTCAAATAGAACTACTTGTTAGGAAGTCAACAGAGGGCATTTGTGCTCAGAGATATTTGTTTTGAATACTTATACTCCTTGTTGTGAGGGAGGGTCCTTTGAGGGTTAGGAGAGGAGACATTGGAAAGTGACAGCAATGTACAAAAAGAGCCCCATAAGCTGTTGACTTAAAATATAATCAAAATGGATGATTGTTTCCCAATTTATCTTACTAGACATCTGGAGTTGTACAAATTAGGTTGAAGGGACACAGCAGCATTAGAAGTATCTATGGCAAATGGCCATGCCATCCCAACCTGTTTTCTTACCTTTTATCATTGATAACCGTCTTCAGTGCCTTGCTGAGATCATCAGATGTCATTTCAAGGACATTCAGGATCACCCCTGCCCCTCTTGATTCCATGCGTTTAGCATTGTCCATCTGATCTCCAAACAAAGGCATCAACACCATTGGCACTCCATTACACAGTCCTTCATAGGTCCCGTGAGAGCCAGCATGAGTGATGAATGCCCGGGTCTTTGGGTGAGCTTAGGAAGGAAAATAGAGAAAGAATTTCTCTATAGCTTGGTAATCTATTAGCTTTCAGGGAATATAATATTTCAGTCTGAAGGCACTATAAACAGTCAATGTTACTATTATCTATTGTGGGAAATCAGAGTATTTTTCTAAAATATACTTCATTGGCCAAGTGCTAGAGAACACTAATAGGCTTGGCCCCATGATGGTATTATACAAGTTCTGTTATTCATCCATTTACATGCCCCATGGCATGCTTTATTGTTGATCAGTTGTTTCAGTTCTATCTGACTCTTTGTGGCCCCATTTGGGGTTTTCTTGGCAAAGATACTAGAATGCTTTACCATTTCCTTCTCCATCTCATTTTACAGTTGAGGAAACTAAGGCAAGTAGGGTTAACTTACTTGCCCAGGTCACACAGCTAATAGTAACTGAGGCTAGACTTGAACCCAGGTCTTCTTGACTCTAGGCTTAGTGCTCTATCTACTGCACCACCGAGCTGCCAAATTGTAATTCTGCCCAAAATGTAATTTTTTAACCTGGGACAGTCGTGAAAATGTTTCTGAGCTTTAAAACTTGCCTTCCCAGAATCCTCCTTTGATGACTGAGGACTTCTAGCTACCACTTAGACCCTCCCATACCACCCCATAGCACCTTTAGGTAAGTACAATGATTTTACTACAATTAATTTTCTTAAAGGCCATTTCTTTAAAGGTGATACTCCTATGTGTTAGCTGGGCCAACCAATATTGGATTGAGGCATTGTGATGTCACAACAGCAAGGTTTTCTTTTTATTACAAATTTGGGCAAATAGTCCTTAGGTTAATTGATTTCAGGAAAGTTGACCTTGAGCCATTATTATGCTTACTGACTCATGTCTATGGACCCAGAAAGGAGCAATCACAGTCACTTATTGGCTCCCCATCTGACCCTCTTCACAGCCTATGCCCATGGTCAGAGCTCCCAGAGTTCCAGAACTGAAAGAATCAGAGAATCTTAGAGTTAGTCCATCTAGTCCAACCTATTACCACTGACACTCATACCTTTTTTGCCTGAAGAAAGTCTGTGGATTTCTATGGACTACAAACTTGAGTCAACCAGAAGCTTGTGCAAATTCACAGTGCATCACTGAACCTTTCCCTTGTCAGACGTATGGAACATTGTGGTCTGTGCAGGGTGCCAAATTTTAGAATGGACATTGATAAGCTAGAGAGCATCCAGAAGAAAGTGACCTGGGGGGTGAATGGCTTGGAATCCATGCTATATCAGGAATGATTACGGAAATGGGGAAATTGAGCCTGGAGAAGCGAATACTCAAAGGAGTATATGAGATCTGTCTTCAAGTATGTGAAGGATGGCCATGGATCAGAGGAATTAGCCCTTATTGCTTGGCCCAGAAGGCTAAATTAGAAACTGTGCAAAAAGATGAGTCAGCCTTGATATCAGGAAAAACTTGATAACACTGAGACTCTCTCAAAGCTGAAAGGAAGGAATGCCTTGGGAGGTTGTGGGTATGTCTTCACTGGAGGTCTTCAGTCAAAGAAAAAATGATCCCTTGTAAGGGAAATCATCAAAGGATTCCTACAGAGGTCCAGGTTGGATTAACTGGCCTTGGGGGGGGGGTCCCTCCCAGCACTGACAATAACTATGATTCTGCATGTACCTTATCAATTAAAAACCATTGGAGCTGCCCCTGGTTCTGTCTACTGATGGTCACTTGGATATAGTCTACAGACACCACTGTAACCTCACTTTAACATTCATACTTCATCCCTCCTACCCCCACTACATGCTTGAGCACATACCAAGCAGATCATTCTGTGGAAGCCATTTCACAAGTTTGGTGTTCTTGGCCAGATTAGATGGTGGTTTTCCAGTATACCGCCACAATACCTTGAAGGAGCAAAAAGTAAAGAATTTGAGAAAAGCTCATGACATAGTTTTAGCCTAGTAGCAGAAGCAGTGACCACTAATGACCTGAGATGAATATATAGAGCCTTCAGCTACTCCATCAAAGATAAAACACATCCTTCATTTTAGGCCTAGCTCCCATTTGTACTCTTTGGGAAAATAAGCCTACTTGAAGCAAGAAATAAAATCCCTTGGTTCAGTGGCTAGTTTCTGGAAGAGCCTGAGGTTACTGTTGCTCCTTACTTATATGGTAGTCCAGGTTAGAGTGACCTGAATAAAGGTTGGGATAGAAAGAGTTATGACCATACTTTTCCCTGAAGTTTTGGAATTTATGTATGGTATAGAAGCCACAGACAATATATCTATAACTTGCTGTAAATCCTTTTAATCATCCCCCTTTTGCATGCACCCATGACTCATTCTAAAAAACTTTTCTTTTTTTGCCTCAGGATGAATGTCATTTCTAACTCACAAGAAAGAAGTATGGTGTATTTGGAGTTAGCAGACCTGGGTTCAAAGCCCAGATTGCCACTTGATTGATACCAGTGTGATCTTGGATGGACCTCTCTGGGGTTTTCTCATCTATAAAATAAGAAAGTTGAGCTAGAAGGCCTTCACAAGTCTTTGGGGGCAATATTCCACCATTAAATTGAGTATTCATTCAATAACAAAATTCCAAAATGGATGTGATTTGTAAATGGTCCAAAGTATTTTGGAAATGGTAAGAGGATAATTTGTAGGACCTATGGGTGGGATGTAGTGGGTAGAGAGCCTTGCATTTAGAGCCAGGAGAATTAAGGGCTAATCCTAGCTCTGTTACTTATTACCTATGGGACAGTGGAAAAGTCCTTTATCTCTCTGGGCCTCAGTTTCTTTGTCTGTAAAATGGAGAAAGGTTGGTTTTGATGACCTCTAAGATATCTTCCAGGTCCAAGTCTAACTTCTATGATACAATTCAGATACTTAATCCATTAATAGATGCCACAATGTCCAATCTGATATTTTTACTAAGCAGTCAACTTTTTAGTCCTATCCAAAATATATCAAAGAAAAACAAATATCCAATAAAGTCTATTCTGTCTTACTTTCAAAATGCACTTGGAAGGAGGATAGTTGACTGAACTTTGGCTAAATTCAATGGAACTTGACTGGGAGGTGGAGGAAGAGAGCTTGACAATGAAACGCCAAACCTATGTCCTAGTAAAGATGAGTCCTGGGTGGGCATGGATTAGACTTTGTCTAGAGATATAAAAGAATAGCAGAGTGTTGTCCTTACTGTCTGAGGTATTGTGCCCAAAGCTTCAGCAATTTCCATGGCTTTGGTCATTGGGATTTCTGAGACCATAGAGCCCAAGGAGAAGACCACAACTCCATGTTCCCCAGAAGCATTCACATAGGCTTCAAATTCCTAAAATGAGAGGAAAGCATCTAATTTAATGAATATCAATCAATTTGTGCATAATATCCTTCTCTGAGCCCAGAGAAAGCCTGGTTCTGAAAAAGAAAAGAATAACAAGGCAATGTGGTTAAAGGGATAGCAGACCAAGAAAGATGAACTTATTGTCACCAAAAACCTGATAGATGTCAACTCCTTCCCACAATGACTGAGTAAACTCCCCACATGTCAACCACTCCCTTCCACCATTTTTGTTTGCTTTTTAATATTTTATTTTTATTTCTTTTGTAAACATCATTTCACTTCCTAAGGTGCCAGATCCTACTATGTGAAAGGAAGATGAGGCAAACTTACATCGGTGTTGAGTTGTTATACTTTATAGTTTATCTTATCCTTACCACAAATCAATAAGGATGGTGGGTCCCCTTTTTTAGATGAAAAAAAGATCAGTCTCAGAGAAATTAAATGACTTGCCTAAAGCTACTCAACTAGTAAGTGAACAAAGTCTAGTCCCTGTTCCCCTGGCAGACCCCATTCTGAATATTTTGAATATTTCATAAGGGAGAATAACATGCAAGAGCATGCCAAATACCACCAGCATGACAAGAAACCTGTCAATCACCAATCTTGAAATATTTAAAGGAGAAGGATTTCTCTTATTCTTGTTGCTCCATGAACCAATGGATTAATCAAGAAGCACTTACTAAGCAGTCACCCTGTGATGGGCACCATGTTGGGTTCTGGGGATGCAAAGAAACAGTCTGTGGCCCCATGGAACTCAGATTACACCAGCAAATGATAAAACCAGGATGGATGGGGGAGTTGCCATGTATATGAAGCACTGGAGTTGTTGACTGAGGGCTTGGGTTTGAACTCCTACTATTCACATATAAGCTTCGTTGTGGTCAAGTTGCTAACCTATCTGCCATTTCATATTCCTCATATCTAGCAATAATGGCAACAACAATAATGGTGATGATGACAGTGGCTAGTATTTCTACTTTGCTTGTTATGTGTCAGGCACTGTGCTAAGTAAGGTAAAATAGTTGGTTTGACTAAGTGGGCATCACCTTCCTTAAAACTTCCCCCCAATCCCAGAAAACTCTCCCCACCTTTCTGCCTACCTGTCCCTCTGCCTGCTGGTGCTTGCCCCAACCTGCCCCTTCCTGCCTTCCCCCCTGCCCGGCCCCACTTGTCCCCCCTTTTCTTTCCCCCCTTCCCCAGCCACAGCTACCCAAAGTACAATGGGCAGCTCTACTTGGTATACACAACTCATAGATTTTTTGTGAGGATGAAAGGAGAAAATGGAGACAACAGACTTTAAACACCTGAGCCATGCTGCATAAAGGTTACCTAGGAATGAATCAAACAGTTCTAGCTGAAAGAAGACTGAGAGATCAGAGCTAAGTGATGAAGGCCATCTTCTCTGAGTCGTTGAACCAGGGAAGGCGGGGGACAGGGTCTAGGCTGACTGTTTCTCCCTTGGTGCTTAGCAGGGTGCCTGGCACTCAGGGATACCTCAATATCTGACTGAATGAACAGAGGGCTGGGGAATAGGCAGGGGAAAATGAGAATTGATGAAGAAACCCATACTAAGGATCACGCAAAAGGAGAAAGGGACCAGCAGAGGATGAGATGGATAGAGAGTGTCATGAACATGAACTTGGACAGAGGTTGGGAGATGGTGGAGGATAGAAGGGTGTGGTGCACTCTGGTCCACGGGATCACGAAGAGTCCGACACAACTGAACGACAAGTGCAATCCTGCCACCAAAACGTCCAAGCTATCTACACAAAGACCAAACGTGCATACAAGCTGACAAACAATGCCTTCGAGGGAGGAGAGGAGGAAGCGCTCGCTGCCCCAAAGTGCCTGAGCCACGGCAGCATCAGCTAGGAAGGCAGCGGGGCAGGGGACACTGGCAAGTGCTGGCAAGTAAATCAGAAGGCCTGGGCTCTAATTCTTGCTCTGTCCATGCAACCTTAGAGGGGTAACTTTCCACATCTTTCCGTGTTCCCAATTGTCCTACGTGTAAAATGGCAATACTAACTCCCTACCCAATTACTTCTTCAGGTTATTGCAGAACAAAACTGAGATAACATGAGAGCACCCGCAACCCAATGTGGAAAGCACAATAAAACCATTAACTGATCCGCTTCTCAGTCAGGAGCCTTGAGAGAGAGGGAGGATGTTGACCCAGTGCTCACCTGAGGTAATGGTTTTGTGTAAGCGCAGTTTATTCCCCCAATGAAAATCATATTGGGCATGACTGGCCTGGGATAGTCCTTTAAAAAATCGCTTCTCAGAAGCCAAATGGATCCATGGCTCAGAAGGTCTGTAACCGTCACCTCTCTCTTTAGGAGATCAGAAGCAAGACGCATGTATGGGGAATACACGAAATCACAAAGAAAGAATTGGAATATAGTAACCAGCATGTTTTTAACTCTCTGCAAAAATGTCATGCGATCTGTGCTCTCAGATAACCCTCGAGGAATGTAGGAAGGAGGATTGGGGCACTGTGTGGCATCATAGTCTAAACTGCACGGCAATCCATGCAAAAAGTAGACAGCAGGCAGAGAGAGGTACTTGGCTACTATCGGGCCACAGGGTAGGAAAGGGTCTGTGAAAACAGCATCAAAGTGATTGTCATCAAGGCGGGTCATCAGCTCTTTGTTATAAACCAAATGTGAGCAGGCAGACAGAAGCAAAGTTGTGACATTTCTTATTCTCTCCTTTGTTGTGAAAAAATTTTCTAAAAATGGTAATTTCTCAAAAGCTTTGTGATTCATCTTACGGAAATGGGCCTCCAAGTCTCCCATCTGGAAAGGCACTGCGAACCGGGTGAGGGTATAAAATGGTGCTTCTTTAATATGTAGAGTCACTGCAGGGGCAACCACCACGATCTCATGTCCTCTCCGTCGCACCTCCTGTAGGACTCCATGCATACTGAGCCAATGACTGCCGTCCTGTGGAACCACCAACAACTTGCCCCCCTCTGCAAATGCCAAGCAATAAGTCCAAAGGAATAGGACATGTTGAGGTTTCAGTACTCCAGACATAATGTCCACCTGGTCAACATTTGCTACATTGGACTTTGCCTAGTCCTTCTTCTTCTGCATACTTCTCCTGTTACAGACACTGATATAGGTTAATATTTAATCAGGAAGCCAAACATAAAGATAATGATAAATTTGCATGGTAGAAGTTAAAGAGAGCCCAAGAGTGGGGGTTTACTGGGTCAAAAGATCTTGTCTGGTCTGGGGACATTCATAGTTCCCCCATATTGGGAGACCAGGGTGATACTCAGGCTGGGAGCTCCAGGGTGAGTATAAGCAGTTTAATAATCATCTGGATACTTACAATAGGCTGGCCAGACAACAAAGACCCCAAAAAAGCCCCGCGGCAGTTATAGAAGTAAGACGAAGGGATGAGGCGTTATAGATTGCATCATTGCAGTTTGGCCAATATTTTGGTTTCTGGCTTAGTATTGGGCCCGAGTCCCAGAGCCCAGGCTCCAGGCCAGTGCTGTTGGTAAATGCCCAGACACGCAAGGTCATGTATGGATCAGTGTGACCTCTCTTGGTTTTCACCAATAGGGACCCTATAGGTGTTATCTGCTGCTCCCCAGAGATCATCTGATATGAAAGAGGTATTCTGGACCCTGGCCTGCAAGGGGTCAGATAACTTATCAACATGGGAACTCCCTCCATCAGGGCAAATCATAGCCCTCCCACACCTTCTCTGAGTGATGCCTGTCCATGGTCTCCCAGAAATAATCCAGAGGAGATCCAGTTAATGCCTTTGAGCTTACCCCCAATGTATCCCTTATCTATTTTGCTTTCGTGTAGCTGTTTGTCTTCCCCATGGGAGTTCCATGAGGGCAGGGACTACTGTCGTTGCTGCCCTTTTTGCATCCTTAGTGCTTAGTATAATGCTTGGAATATAGTAAGTGCTTAATAAATGCTTGTTCATTGACCAACTGACTGACTGGCTGGGAGGAGTGGGTGTCTACAGAGGTGTATCTGCAACCAAATTTGGATGAGAACCCTTTAAAAACTGTAAAGCACAATAATATCATTAATTAATCTAATTAACACAGTCAAGAGGCTGCAGGGAGGGAGATAGGGAGGACTGTCCTAGGCAGGAGGCCCATTGTGCAAAACCAGCACAATGGTGGGCACCAGTGATGGGCAGATATTGCACAGCAAAGGGTAGGAAAGTCCTGGCAATAGGGAGGCCCTCACCCATTTGCACTGTGTTTCCCCTTTGCAAGAGGTCAAAGGGTGGGGGCTGTCTGTATTTTCCTTCAGTGGGAACCAAATCTAGGTGGTTGAAGAGAGCTGTGATGACATTGGAAGACAGAGAAGTCCCTTAATGAAGTTCCTTAGGAGGAAGAGGAGGTAGTGTGGTACAGTGGAGAGAACACTGACTTTGGAGTCAGAGACTCTGAGTTTGGGTTCAGGGTCTGCTATCTACTACCTGTAAATAGACTTTGGGCAAGCCCCTTCAATTCTCTGAGCCCCCAACTCCTCATTTGTGAAATGAGGTGGTTGGGAAACAAGGCCTCTAAGGTCCCTTCCATCTCTAAATTGGTGATTGATGAGTCTGGGATCCTAAAAGTGAAGTCAGGTGCTTGCCAGAGACCTTGTTTTGTGGCATTTCCTTCCTTCAGCTACAGCCTAAGAATGGAGGAGAGAACACAGAAATTGACATCCTCTGTGAACCTATATGCTCCAGCACAGACAGATTCCATGTAGAATCATAGAATCAAGCTGATTATTCATTCACATGAATGCTCTTGGAAACTGTAATGTGCTACATAAATGTCATTGATTCAGATTCAGCCTGTGCTACTCATTCCTATCTCAATACTTCCAGGATCCATGGAGTTTCACTGGTATGAGCATTTCCTCCACCAAAACAGATTGCAACCCCTCTACACCTCAGAAGGTGATCTCTAGGTGTTGCTGTGGGCACATAATTGATCATCTTGTAAAGTGGGTGATGAGTCT